TCCGACACGTGATTCTAGCCAATTAAATAGAAAGATTAGGTGTAACGTGAAAATCACGTCTTTTTAAAAAATCATTATTAACTCGAAATTTTACTTATGAAACTGTCTAATAAAAAAAATTATAATTGTTTTGATTTTACTTTACACCCGATCCATCAATCTAATTGGCAAAAAAAATCACGTGCCGAAAATTTTTTATCTGAGTTGTGATGTTGTTTTTGCATATATAAATGTATTTTATTATGTATTATTTAGTACAGTATTATAAAAACGTTATTTGTTAATTTTATTGGCCCATGTCATAGTGCGAACCATATGACGACGAAAAAAGAACTTAATTGGCTGGAGTTAAAAACGTGGTCACATGATTTGAGTGAACATTAATTGGGTTAGCATTTGATTGGCTGCGCTTTAAATTATGATCATGTGACTTCTATAATTTCACGCCACTGAACTTTTATAGTAAGATGTTTAAAAATATATAATGCAATAAGTTAAATTTGTTCAATTTGACTATTATTAATTATATATTATATAAAAAAAAATTAAGATATCATTATTAACATATTAATTTTATTATTATTATTATTTTTATAATATTAAAGATAAGATTATGTCTTTAATTTTATTGATATTTTTACTATTTGCACTATGTTAAATATTAACATTTTGTTGTTTTTTTAGTTTTATATTATTTAAATCTTTTTTTAAAATAATTTTTTTAGTTTTTTTAACTTTTATTAATAACTTTTTGGTAATGTAATTTTATGAACTACTATAAAAAGTGTGTACAATTAGTTACATATATAACTTTTCTATATTATTTATTTAAGAAATTTATCTAAAAATTCTTTATTAATTGTTGTATCTAATATTTCTGTTTGAGTATTCTTTTTGAACCTATAATCTGTATTAATATTATTGTTTTTGTTCAGGTCATTATCTTAAACTTAAATTATTTTATTTTTATGATAAATCTTTCAAAATCTTTTATATCTATTTTTACAATTTACTTAGATATTGTTATAATAAAATCAATATTTGTAATTAAGTTTAGTCATTAAATTGTTATGTTCTTGTAAAATTTACTCAAGCCTTAGTATCTATTTTATAATATATTTCTAGTATTTTAGTATATCTTTACTTGTTTTTTAGACTTTCAATTCAGATAGTCTATATAGAACTATAATCAATCAATTAATATATTAAATTGATCCAATATTTTTTTTTCTAGTTCATTTTGATGGTCTGGTTGGTAGTATCTCCTATTTTAGAGATTTTTTTGTTCAGATAATTTATTATTGATATCTGTTTTCAATAATTTAATTTTTACAATAGAATTATCAAAGATCTGTACTACTTTTATATTTAAGTTTTCATAAATAAACTTCTGTTTTTTAATTTTAATAGATTTATATAATTATAAAACCTTATTTAATATTTGTACTACTTAATATCAGTTTATATTCTTCTGTATAATCAGTTATACAAATATCTTAAAACCTGCTAGTTATACTAGTATAATCATTATTACAAGTATCTTAATTTAATTATTAAAAATAATTATTATAATATAAGTATTATATAGATAATAATTCAATTTATTATTAATAAGATTTAAATATACAATCTAATACTTAAAGAGTTGATAACTTATTCACTTTACTAAATTATTATACTTCTATTTAAATTTTTTAGTTAAAAAAAATTTTATTAATTTTTTAATTAAAATTTATAACTAAAAAAATAAATTTATTAAAAAAAATAATAAAGTATTAGTATTTAGTATAGTGTAAATAGCAAAATAATAGTACAAATAAATAGTATTATTTTAAATTTAAAATTATATAAATATATAAATTGATTATATAAATTTTTTTTGATATTAAATTAAGATTTTGCTTATATTTTTATTACTAATTTAAAATAATTATATGTATATATTGTGTGTAATATTTAAATAAGTATGAATTTGAAACTGAGATATATCAGACTGAAATTTGATTTTAAAATACATTAAATTAATTTATTATATATCAAAACTAAAATAAATAGATAATATATATAAAATTTATTATATAATAATTTAAAAGCAATATAATCTAAATAATTACAAAATACAAATATTGCATATATTGCACTGCATAACTAATTTACTATATATATTTAATCTAGATTAGAATTTTATTGTTGTACATTTTTTCACTATAATATTTACTTTTATATTTAACTTCAGATTTTTTATAACAGCATTTATTAGTATTACAATTACTTTTATACTTGCATATTTTTTTGTAAGAATATTACTATTATTTTAATTTTATGCAACTTCTTTAATAAAAATATAATCTGTTGAAATATTATTTAACTTTAGATATTCTTTTATACTTAATAGTTCAAATTTAATATACCACTTTTGCATTCTAGTTGATATTTGAATGTTTCTTTATAATTTAACTTATTTAAAATAGAGGTTTGTATTGAACAGAAAAAAGAAATAAAAATATTACTTAATAGTAAATATGTGAAAAAAAGTAATGAAAATTTAGATCAAAAATTGAAAAAAAAATAATTATAAAATAAAAAGAGAAAATAGACCTGTTAAAAACAATGATTACATTAAACATTTAGATAAAATAATAAAAAAAAGAAAAATAATATAAAATTCATTCTTGTAAAAGGTTATAGTTGTGATTATAGAAATGAACAAGCTGATAAATTAGCAAAAGCCAGTTGTTTTATAGAAGTAAATAGTAGTAAAATAATAGAACACAAAACAACAATACTTGATTATTTTAATATAATTAAAAATTAATTAAAAATAATTTAATAATATTAATAGTAAAAATAATTATATTAAACATTACATTTTTTAAAAAAAAATAAATTATCAATTTAAAATATTATCTAAAAACAGAATCAAATTTGATACAATTTTAGTTACTTTATATTTAATTTTATCAGTTGTTTTATTTATTAGTTTATATTTGATATATCATTTATTAAAATGTTTATTTCCCCAAGTGGCAGATTCAGAGTTAAATCCCAGTGTTGACAGAAAATTTAAAAAATCCTCCCTGTGTTATGGTTAACTGTCTCTTGCAATTGGTTGAGATAAGACACCTGTTACCTATGTCACACCAGCATAACTGACAGGTTACATGGCATTTGTGTAATGGTCACATGACATTGTCCTTTAGGACAAGGTCTGTGGTAAACTGGTACTGGGTGGTGCAAATTTACAATAAGTCCTTATGGCCATATAAATCATAGAAAGCAAAAAAAGAAAGATAAAAACCTACTTAAAAGACAAAATAGAGAGGTAATCCAAACTTTCGACAGTGCAACTGTAATGACTAGACCTATGAAATGGAGCTAGTACTCATGAAACTAGGCAAAGAGCTGTTCTTTGAGAAGGGGCCAAATAGAACCAACCAGGCTGCTGGATTTGTTCCAGAGAAAAAGGTTACATGCTAACAAACATGTAAACCAGAGGTGTATAGTTATAATCTGCCTTTCTAGGCTATCTGATTTGGGAGTTAGTAGAACATGAATTAAATACCAAAGTAGTAAAAATATGTTGTAAAGTCAGTACCAGAATTGGAGTGAACTCTACAAGAGCATAAAGGTTTAATGATATGCCCTGACTGCAAGTGTTGGTCTCAGCCATAGTGATACTAGGTTAGTTGTAAAAATAGAATACAGAAGGTTCTGAAAGGTTTAGTACAAGGTCAAAGATTTTTCATGTAAGTGAACTGCTTTAAAGACTTAGTAGCCATGGCATATTTTTACTGGCATTGACCAAGGTCATTAGTAGGCAGAAGTAGGTGGATAAATACAGAAACAGAGTAGTTAAATAGGGACCTACAAGCAGATTTCAAGTATGGCAGCTAGTATAGAACCTTTGGGTGAACTACTTAAATTAGACAATAATTAAAGTTGTATAAGTGGCTAGTTGTACACTTTTCCCATAGTTGCCTTCTGTGGTTGTAAAACATCCATTAGCCAAATATACTACTAATAAAATCCTGAGTCGCAAGTACTCACCTTAATATTTAAAAAAAAAATTAAAATGTTTATTAAATATATTAAAAAAAAAAATATTATTATATTTATAAAATAATTCAATAATAATTATTTTATTTTATAATTTAATTTAAATTTTTTTGCTTCTTTTAATGTTATAAATCATTTAAATTTATATTTATTATTTTTATAATATTGAAATTTATATATTATGGCTTTTATCAAAACTAACTCCATTATACTTACTAGTATTATTTTTGATAGTTTATAAGTTATTTGTTTTCTTCTTAAAAATTTTTTTGAAAGATTACAATTTCTATTATTAAAACCAATTCTATTAATATAATAAACAGACTTATAATTAGAACAGATTAATTAATAAAATTGTAATATTTTATAAATATTATTTTCTTTTACAGTAATTCACATATATTATATATTATAATTACTTTTTTTAATGCAATACCAAGTATATTTTTTTAAAAAATCAAAATGATCAAGATTTTATAAAAATATAATATCTTCTTTTTGTATTTTAATTTTGAAATATATTTTATAATTAATTTCTACAAAATGATATTCATTTAATTTATAATTTATAATAGATGAATATTTTTTCCAAGTAATAATAACATTATATTTTTCTTTAAAATAGTCTTTCTAAAATTTACTCAGTTCTATTTTGTTATTTAGTAATTTTATAAAATAAAATAATACTTTAATATTTTTTATTAATTAATTTTTTTTTTTAAATATTAATAGTAAGGTCATGCCTTTAATTTTATTAAAATTTAATTAAAGTTTTTACAAAGAAAAGCTTGCTTTTAAATTACAAATGAAGAATAAAAACTCAGACATTTTATTTGTGACCTAAACTACAAAAGTGGCCAAGGCTCATCTAGATTTAGGTTTAAGTAATAATATATGAGAAAGAGGTATGATATTTAATTCATTGAATAGTCCAAAGATCAATTTTAGTAATAATTTATAGTATTGAAATAGGAGCTAAGGGTAAACTAGAAGAATGACTATAAGTTGAGTTAGTAGAGAGTGTAGTGTGAGACTGTACAGAATGTGAGATACAGTATGAAATCAATATTTGTTTGTATATTGTTGATTTAAGTGATGAAGAAGTTTGATAGAAAGGGTAGTAGCAGTATGATAAAAAATAGAAGTCTGTGAATAGTAGAAATAAGATCAATAGAAACTAAACCAGATAGAATAGAAATAAAAAAAGGTATATGTGAAGAGTTATGCAATTTGAAACTGTTAAGAGTGAGAATTTTAGTATATAAATCAGAGACAAGATTGGCAAACATATTAAGATTGATAGTATTTAATTAATAAATTAAAAATTGTAAAATATATTAAATAATACTTATTATTCATAAACTTTATTACTAAATTCTTTTATCTATAATTTAATAATTTCCTATTCTTCTATTTTTTTTACTTTCAATTTCAATTTCCAACTTTTTTCTTTTTGTTTTCCCTTGTTTTCCTTTCTTTCTTTCTGTAAAAAAAAGCTAGCAGCAGCAATTTCAAAGGAATTGTACTCTCATAGTGAAGCCAGGAGCAGCCAAGAGCCTATCCACCTTTGAAGAATAAAAGAGAATATGACAAAAATGTCAAAGTGCATTAAAGATGGTATTTGTTATATTTTTCTCAAACAAGTATAAAATATGCATTTGAGCTTAAATTAAATTAATAATAAATTAAATAATTAGTATAGAAAAAAATTATAAAAATACAATATTTTATTTTTAAATTTATTATTAAAGCAAAATGTCTTATTATTGTAAAAATTGCAAATTATATACTGATTATTAAACAATTTCTTATTTACAAACTCAATATAAAATATGTCAAGATTATGTATATATAAACATTGTTTGCTTTACAAAACCTTGTCATGTTTGTAATATTAAGATATATACATTATTAACATGCAAATATAAAAATATATATTCAATTAATTTCATTTATTCAAAGACAAATAAACAAGATTTATTAGAATATAGATTTTCAAAAGACCAAATATTAAATAAAAAAAAAATTGCAAAAGACTAACCTTTAATATTAAGTAAAAAAATATATTATTACTATTACAAATGTATTAATATAATATGTATTAATAATATAGTAGAACAAAAAAATAATAAATTTTTATATAAAAAATATAATAAAGATTTTTTTGAAAACTTACCAAATAATGATCTAAGAAAAAATAAATATTTGCAATCATCAGAATATTAAAGATATATTGTTAAATATATTGTTTGTGAAAAAGATCATCACCATTATCTTTTTGTAAAAAGCTTAGGAAATTTTGGTTGTAAAAAACATCAAATTGCATATTTAGTATCTAAAGACATTGAAAATAGAAATAAATATTTATAACCTAGAATAATTTATAGAATAGATTCAAGCAGAATTAAAATATCAACATATGCTATAAATTAAACAGCAATTTTAAGAATTATTTTAGTATATATAAAAGAAATATCTATTTCTTATAAAGAAGCCTTAGAAGAATAAATTGGAGATTATTTGGAATTCACAAAAAATAACAGATGATAATGATGATTGATATAATGAAATTATAGATTTACAAGAGTAATGGATAATTTAAATATTCCATCTGAACAAGAACTTGAAAAAAATAAATTAAGAAAATTAATATTAGAATTATTTGATTTTAAATCTAATATTGATATTAAAAAAATTTTAAATAGTTTGTATAATTGATAGGGTGGAAATTTAAAAGATATTTCTTTTTGTAAAAACTGTTAAATAGTTGTTAGAGATGCAAAAAATAATTTATATAATATATGCTTTAGAAAAAATAAAAATAATTATAATAATTATTATAATAAAATTAAAAATAATTATAATAATATGAATAAAGATGAAATTGATAAATTAAATTAAAAAGTAAAGGAGTTAGTAAAAAATATTAATCATTTAAAAGAAAAATTAAAATCTAAAGATAGAGAAATAGAAATTAAATCTCAAGAACTAGAAAGCTATAAAACTCTATTTGAAATAATTAGAAATATGATAACTTTATTTACTAATATTAATGTAGATAAAAATCTTATATATTTAAATTAATATTTTTTTTTATATTTTATTAATTAATAAATTATATTTTATTGAAAAAATTAAAATTTATTTAATTTTATTAGTAAATGTGATAATATTATTTATTTTATCTTCAAGTGATTTTTTAGATATAAATTTAATTTTCAAGTTCTTTATAATTTAATTAATTTTTAATTCAAGATTAATTAAAGAGCTATTTTGTATTAATTTTTTACTTAATCCATCTAATTTTTGATCTATTGTTTTTTTTATTTTCAAAATTTATTACAGAATTCTTTAAAGTATAATCAATTTTATTTATCTAATAATAAATATAATTATTTTTTTTGATTTAAAAATAATAGAAATATGAGTTTTCAAAATATTTGTATTTAATTTAGATTCCTTTATTATTTTTAAATTTGATTCTAATAAATTAATATTATTTGGAAATTTATTTTTATTTTTTAGAAAAAATATATCAATATTTTTCAATATTTTAAAATATTTTTTTATATTTTCATTATTTTTTTCATTAATAATTTTTAATTTAATATCTTCTATTAATGCATTTTCTTTTTTTTAATATTATTTTTTAATTTTTTAATATGCCAAGGTTCTAATCTTTCATTTTTTGTATAAAATTATATAATTTATTACCAGGTTGTATATCAAAAATATTTGCTTTTTTATTTAATTTTTTAT